ATACAACCATAAATACTATACGAAAATACACCTCAAAGTCAGCATTTTAATCCAAAAACAGTCGGAATTTTTTTTTTCTCATTATGCACTGCCTGCTGCAGGATTTTTTTTTATACTGTGCACACTGGCCATACAGCTTTCTCCCATGTGGGCCTACCAGCTTTCTCCTGCTTGATTTGAAGCCACTAGAATTTTTGAGTATACATACGTCAAACACATTGGCTAGCAAGGTGTATATATATGACCGAAACAGTCATAGGATTAATGAACTGCAATTTATGAAAATGGATGCAATTTATACACCATTAACCCTTTCAGGGTCCAGAGGCGAAATTTCAAAGGGCACACCAGGGTCCAAGAATTTAAAAAAAAAAAATTTGTTATTTTTTCTTATGAAATGGTCGAGAATCTTTTTCTGAAGGTAATAAAACAAAAAGTACGAAATTTGATGGGAAATTGACGAAATTATGCTCTCGCAAATTTTGATGTGTCAGCAATATTTACAAATCAAGTGATTTTGCCGACTTTGACTCCCATTTTAGGCCAATTACATTATTCCAGTTGACTAAATTCTTAGCTATTTCACTAGTATTACTTCTATTTTATCGACTGAGGACAAGAAATCGCCAAGTCAACTGTTTCAACTACAAAATAAAGTGATCGGAAAGTGGTAATTTGGCCAATTTAACACAAAGTTCAAAATATTCCAATTTCAAAATAGGGTCCAGAATAAACAATGCAGGCATTCCTGGCACTAAACTAACATTTCCTCTGTTCATTAGTTATATTTTGAGGCTTTACAAATGAATTCCATTTTGATGTTTTATTCACATAATGAATTTTTATTCAAACCAAAAAATAGAAGATTTACTGTTATGCAATATTGTAATAATTGTGTAAATATCATCACCACATTTGTGAATGTATATTAGACCCACCAGCTGGCGTGTATTAGACGTGTGAGGTCTTTTGTTTACTCTTGAACATCGGCAAAAATTTAACATTTCTGCTACTTTGAGCTCAGTTTCAAGCCATTTCCAGTGCTAAAACCAATCAAAATCATCTCTATTTCTGTAATATGTCTTCCATTCTATCAAACGAGACCAAGAAATCGCAAATACAACTATAAAAAACATATGAAAAAACACTGCAAAGTCGCTGTTTTAATTGAAAATCACAGTCTCAGTTTTTTCTCTCATTATACACTGTGTGCTGCAGGATTTGTTTTATGTGGTGCACACATACCACATAGATGTATTCTCTCATAGCTAGGCCCAAATTTACCACTCACAGCTTATCAGAGTGAGCTGAGCTCATGGCGTAGATCTACGGTTTGGACCCTGAACATAAAGCCGTAGATCTATGGCACGGACCCTGAAAGGGTTAAAGTGATTATTATTTTCATTTTACACATTATGAAATATATCATCTGCAACTTCCTGTATCAATTCTTTTAATTATGCTCAGCTTTCAGGTGCAGTTTTCTTGTTTAAATTGTAGTAAATGAAACAAAATAGTTTTAAACATTGTCTTACATCTAACAAGTACAGCCTCTCCTCACTTAGCGACGTACTCGTTTACTGACTTATGACGGGCTCTCTGACCAGTATGCACACATAAATAATGTCTATTAGAGCTGATTTCCTAAATTCCTTTTATTACAATATACAATACACTGCTGTATAAAGATTTAAAAATATTTCAGAAATCTTATAAATGGTGCAAAAGTGACTTGAAAACAATATCAAAGATATTGTTTTAGTCACTATCATTAAAGTATGCTCCTCACTTAGTGAAGAATTTGTTTACCGACGTGGTCTTGGGAACAGAACTCCATTGTTAAGTGAGGAGAGGCTGTACTACATTACAGTAGACCATCGATTAACATAGATTCCTTTAACGTGTTTTCTCCATTATACTATTGCAAAATTGCTGTATATTTTCGAATAACACTTTGTAAAATTTGACTAATATGGTTCCACTTCTGGGTGGGAAAAAATTTGGAGCATGACCTGGACTACAGGATTTTTCCTGTGGTCCAGCTCATGGCCTGACCTACAGGCAGCCTGCCAATGGGTCAGGCCATTGTCTTTGTAGGGCAGGCCTAGCTTCATTCCCTGCCAATCCTGTCCCACGTCTCACATCTCAGTGCTCCATACATACTCGTCCCATACGATTCTCAGTTCTGTGTTTGTGAATCGGGTTTTAATCTTTTCATTACTAAATCTTGCATCTGTGAAGCAACCATGGCACCCAAGAGGCATGTGAGTGATGCTGAAAATCAAGATATTAGACAAGCTTAAAAGTGGTGCACTTGTGGTGAACATGGCGAAAGCTTATGGTCTTTATGAAGTGTCAGTTCATACAATTAAAAGGAATGAGGCAAATATATGGGCTTGTGCAATAAAATACCAAGGTTGTCACCTCATGAAAAGAATGACAAATAGATCACAACAAGTAAATAAAACAGAAAATTTATTGAGTGGACTGAACAAAAAACAAAGAAAGATGCACTGCTTAATTTTATCTTAATTAGGGGAAAAAGCCTTACAAATTTCATCATAATTAGGGGAAAAAGCCTTACAAAGCAAGAGTGTGTTTAGTACTGGTTGGTTCCACAAGTTTAAGTTATGTAATGATGAAAGTACTTCAGATGATCATACAGCAGCAAGTAATTTCCCTGATGAATTGCAGGAAATTATTTCTGAGGATGGATATGAGCCACAGCAAGTGTTTAACCCTTTGACTGTTTTGGTCATATATATACGTCTTACGAGCCCACTGTTTTTGACGTATATAAACTCATAAATTCTAGCGACTTCAAATCAAGCAGGAGAAAGCTGGTAGGCCCACATGTGAGAGAATGGGTCTGTGTGGTCAGTGTGCACTATATATAAAAAATCCTGCAGCACGTAGTGCATAATGAGAAAAAAAAAAAAACTGACCATTTTTTTTAATTAAAATGCCAACTTTGTGGTCTATTTTTGTATAGTATTTATGGTTGTATTCTCGTTTTCTTGGTTCATTTGATAGAATGGAAAACATTATAGAAATAGAGGTGATTTTGATTGGTTTTACCATGAAAAGAACCTTGAAATGGAGCTGAAAGTAGGGTAAATGTTTGATTTTTGCTGATGTTCAAAAGTAAACAAATGATGTCATTTTCCAATAAATGTCCAAGTAGCCATTCTAATATGCAGTCATGAATGGGTTGACATTATTTATACAATTATTACAATATTGCAGTAGTCTGCATAACAGTAAATCTTTTATTTTTTGTTTGAATAACAATTCAAAATAGAGAGCAAGAGTAATATCAGAGGGGCCTGGAGACATGACTTATGAACAAAGAAAATGTTATTTTAGAGCCAGGAATGTCTGCATTGTTCATTCTGGACCCTATTTTGAAACTGTCATATTTTTTAATTTTCGTGAAGTTGGCCAAATTGCCAATTTCTGACCACATTATTGGGTAGTTGAAATCAGTAAATGGGCAGTTTTTTGTACTCAATCGATAGAAAAAATGGAGCTCTAAAGAAATAGCTATGAGTTTGGTCGACTGGAACAACAGAATTAGCCGAAACTAGGGCTCAAGGTGGGCGAAATCGCCGATTCGTAAATATCGCCGAGGTCGCTCACTTTGCGAGAGCGTAATTCCATCAGCTTTCCATCAAATTTCGTTCTCTTGGTGTCTTTATAATCGGGAAAAGATTCTCTTTTATTTCATAAGAAAAAATAATTTTTTTTTTTGGGGGGGGGGGAAATTTTGCGACACCAGGAGACGCCTCAGGATTTGGGGTTGCGACAGTCAAGGGGTTAATGCTGATGAGACAAGTGTGTTTTGGAAGAAAATGCCAACAAGAACTTATATCAGTCAGGAAGAAAAAAGTGTGCCAGGCTTCAAGGCAGCAAAGGATTGCTTCACCTTGCTTCTTTGTGCTAATGCATCAGGTGATTTCAAGTGTAAGCCCATGGTTATTTACTGTTCCAGGAATCCTCGTGTTTTGAAAGGTGTAGATAAAAGAACCTTACCAGTAATTTTGAGGGCAAACCAATCATCATGGATAATAGAAGAATTATTTATTGATTAGTTTAAGCATTACTTTATTCCTGAAGTCAAGTTTTACCTGCACAGCAACAACCTTTCATTCAAGGTTCTTATCACTCTTGATAATTCCTGTACTCATCCAGAAGCTTTGCTCGATGTGAACCTACATGTAAAAGTTGAATTTTTACTTCCAAATACATCTTTAATACAACCACTGAATCATGGAGTTATTAAGTCATTCAAGTGTAACTACACAAGAATAGAAATGGACTCTGACTCCAACCTGGCAGTTCCAAACCTCTGGAATAAATTTAACATTGTGGATGCCATCAACTATGCTAGAAGTGCATGGAATGAGAAGCCCCAATCAACATTAAATGTAGGCTGGGATAAGTTATGGCCTTCTGTAGTTAATTCTTTCACTGTGTTTCCCTCGCTTGAGAACCAGGTGCAGGAAATAGTTCAGCTGGCAAGGAGAGTACAAGGTAATGCCTTTGAAAATATTCATATCTTTAAAGCCATATGAAAGCAAGAGGCTTGGGAGATAATGCGAAATACCCTCAATGAAATGAGGGGGCCCAATGAATACACTAAGTGTAAGGGGACCTAGATTCTACAATACCTTCCTTTATGCATGCTAGTGGCTTTTTTTAAGTTTAACAATATTTTTATACATGTAAACTACACACTATATTATGCACAGAAATAAATGTTTGAATCTGAATTTGAAAAGAGGAGTCACCAACAAAGCTCTTGCTGTCTCTAAGAGGGAACTTGATAGGTTCCTCATGTCAGTTTCAGCCAGGCTGTGATGCATATGAGGAACTGTGTGTGTAGCTGCCACTAACAACCTGGTCAGTCAGACCAGCAACCAGCAGTGACCCCCTAAACCAGTCCAACTTAAATGAAAGGTAGTGCACAGCACAAAATGACGAAAATCAAATTAAAAAAGTTAAAATTTTCCAACACCATTTTTTATTAATAAGATTAAATAATTACAATAAATGTAATATAATACAGCACTGTATGGGCATATGCCCTATCAACTCTCTAGTGTTGTAAAGAAAAAAATCTTAATAAAATTTGCTCTAAACTCAAGAAATAATTATAACTGAGAATACAAAGTTAGTTCATTTTAAAAATGACATGTAAAGTTATAGCTTTGAAACTTATGAGTAGTCTTTTACTTTCTTTGCACAAGTACAGTATAACAGAAATATGTCCATAGGATTGATTAATACAATATTAAATCAAGTACTGTTATAATGTACTGCTAAGGCTTTGAAATGAGCAGAGGTAGGATAACAGCTCTTTGTGGAGCAACTCAGAGCCTAACCCCTAAGCAATCTTTGATTAAAAAAAAAAGTAACAGAGCTCATTTTTGTATTTTATCTGGGGCCCCAAACATTGACATTTCAGCTAAATTTATGTTGTACATAAGCACAAATTTTTATTCAGGGATTGCATAAAGACTAAGAGGGAGATTACACATTTTTAAACCCGATTCTTCCACCTGGTAAATTTAACTAGTTACATCACTCATTGCAATACTGTTAAATACCTAAAAAACCTGCAAAATTCATTTAGTGTAAGGAAAATCATATACAAGATGGACACTGAGGCAGACACAAGTTGTAGTAGGATGCTTCATCCCAGAAATCTGGCCCCTTCCAACCACACCAACCTTTATTCTGAATTGTAGTGAGATCTTCAGGCCCTGTATAGTGGGGGTCTAAAATAAGAAAACTTATATCTCCACTTTGTGCATTCCAGTCTACACCAATTATTGTGTGAGCAAGAACACCACCACCAATCATAACTGGAGTACCCTGAGTCTCAAAATGCACAGAAAGCTCATGTCCTTTGTTAGCCAGTTCAGCCCCACTACTCACAAAAATGAACTTTGAACTTATGTTAAATAGACTATCAAGAACATACCCAACTTCGGTGGAACCAATCCACTGGCATGAACCAAGAAAACTTGATGGTTTATCCCCTATGTCTACTAAACATTTCTGAATTTCTCTGTGTGTTGGAACAGGCTTCTCTGTGAATCCTTGGTACCTAAACCATGATATTAATGTTTGAAGAGATCTATATGCACACCCCCATTTGTTATCATCAAAACGATTCTGCATATAGTGATGATATCCATATGTACCTTGAACAATTATTACATCTCCACTGACATTTGAAGGCTTTAAACCAATATGTGGATTTGTCAATGCTGCAGATTTGCTGCCAGGCAAAGGTGTTAATCTATTTGCTCTTCTCACCATAGGTTGATCAAAAGGAAACAGTAAAGTTTTATGGACTGATTTCCTGTAAGTTTCAAAATATTTCTCATCAACATCATCAGGATATATGACATTAACTACATGGCCAGCAACAAAATGCAGTGAGTTATATGATGTTAGTATTCCAGGCAGTTTTCTGTCTGACAATTGTTCCCTCAACCAATACAATGCTAACTGCAATTGTCGAATCACTCCTTGTGTTAACACTGCAGCTACATGACAAACTTGTGTTGATCTTTCTAAATACACAATAGCTTCACCATTAAATATTACTGATAAAACAGTTGCATTTCTATTATCAATGCGAATTACAGGGGCATTTGTTGATGTACCTGAACTTCGATTTATCATTAGCTGAAAAGAAGCTACTTGATGGGAAGTTTTCTTCTTCCCAGAGCCTTTAAATATTGATCCAACAGGGTTTTCACCATCAGTGATTGATCCACCAAATGACAAAATACCCTCTTCACTGTTTTGCATTATCAAATTAGAATTCTGTAGCTTAAAGCATGCTGAAGGTGACTGAAGGTGCTCTGTTAGGCTTTGAATCACACTTGTGACAGATGACAAGGTGTCTTTTGAACTAAGGTCAAGAGAAAAATATGTCTTTGCAAGTATAAAAATGTCATTAAACTCTTCTTGTGACAGGGTAGTGTATTCTCCAACAATTATCCCTTGCTCTTCCTTCATGTAAGTGTGTAGCTCTTGTTGGTCCCATATGAGCATAAACTGGCCTTCCTGAAAGAAAAAACTCAAGTAAATCTTTAACATCACTATTCAAAGTATTTTTTTTTCTTTTTGTTCAAAGGGTACAATGGATTTTTTTTTAAGAATATTATAATACGTGTGAAGGTTTTTCAGCATTAATAGTACAGTACATCATTATGTGCAAATCTTTCCTTAAACATTTATAAGTTTCTGACCATCTACCACTTGATGATTAATTAATTAGCATGGGTGTCAATTTTTTGACTGCCATTAATCCCTTAACCCTTTCAGGGTTTCTGATGTACTAGTACGGCTTACGCACCAGGGTTACTGACATACTAGTATGCCTAAATTCTAGCGCCTTCAAATCTAGTGATTATTATTATTATAATCAAAAAGAAGCGCTAAGCCACAAGGGCTATACAGCGCTGCAGGGTAGGGAAGGAAGCGAGGGTATTGGGCTGCAGAAGGGGGGAGGGATGATCAGTAGGTTACAGAAAACAGCGGGGCAGGGGATAGTGCAGGGGTAGAGGGTAGCAAGAGATTGAGGTAGAAAGGGCTGAAGGTATCAGAGTTTGTGAAGTCAGTTGTTGTCAAAAAGTCAATGAGAGAGTCCGGATGAAAGGTGGGTCCATCAGCGAGAAGGGAAGGTAAAGAGAGAGCAGCGGAGCGAAGACGACGATGGAGGTAAATTCTGCGTGCTTGTTGATAAAGTGGGCAGTCTAACAGAATGTGGCTGACTGATAATGGAACCTGACAATTCTCACAGAGAGGAGCAGGGCGCCTCTCCATGAGATATCCATGAGTAAGATGAGTATGGCCAATGCGAAGACGGGAGAGAGTAGTCTCCCATCTTTGACACTGGTGACAAGAAGACGGCCAGTAACCTATACTCGGTTTAATAGATTGAAGTTTGTTATCGAGCATAGTAGACCAATGTTGTTGCCAACGGGTGTGAAGGTGGGTAGCTATTGCAGCAAAATAGTCCGTAAATGGAATACCTCTATATGAAACTGGTAGGTCATGTACTGCTGACCGCGCAGCAGCGTCTGCCTGTTCACTGCCCTGTACGTCAACATGACCAGGGACCCAACAAAAAACAATATCTTTATGCTTGGCAAAGATGCGGCGTAGCCAAAGTTGGATACGGAGGACTAAGGGGTGAAGTGTATCAAATTTCTGTATAGCCTGTAAAGCACTAAGGGAGTCTGAGACAACCACAAATGATGACAAAGGCATAGATGCAATACGGATAAGTGCTGCAAGAATGGCATACAATTCAGATGTAAAAGTACTAGCCGAAGATAGTAAACGCCCTCGTACGACGCTGTCTGGAAACACTGCTGTGAATCCTACGCCATCAGAAGACTTAGAGCCATCTGTGTACACTGCAATAGCATGAGAATGAGAGTGGAAGTGGTCAAGAAAAAGAGAGCAGGAAGCGACCGTAGACAGTTGGGCTTTCGAACAAGGGAGAGAGAAAGAACAGACTCGAACAGCTGGAACTTTCCAGGGGGGTAGGGAAAAGCGAGATGCTACATGAACATAGAAAGGTGGTAATTGAAGAGAAGACAAGAGCGAATGTAGGCGAAGAGAGAAGGGATGGAGTAAACAGGGGTGGTGAACAAATAAAGAATGTCTACTAATATCAGTGACCATTTTATAAATGGAAGGACTGCGGAGATCATGAGAGCGTACACAGTAGCGAAGGCAATGGGCATCATGGCGATTGGATAAGGATGGAACGTTTGCTTCTGCATAGAGGCTCTCAACAGGAGAAGAGCGAAAAACACGAAGGCATAAACGTAATCCTTGGTGATGAATGGGGTTAAGGCTAGAGAGAGTAGCAGGAGAGGCCGCTGAATAGATCTGGTCACCATAATCAAGTTTCGATAAAATGAGGGTGGAATGTAGGCGAAGGAGAGTTCGACGATCAGCTCCCCATGAAAGATGAGCAAGGGTTTTAAGAAGGTTCAGCCGGCTGTGACAAGTTGCCTTCAGAGAGGTAATGTGAGGTTTCCAGGATAACCTACGGTCAAAGAGGAGGCCCAGAAACCTGACTGTATCACGTTCAGGGATACGGGAGCCATAGAGGTACAAAGGATGATCGGACATGACAGAGCGTCTAGTGAAAGTAATTTGGTGAGTTTTGGTACTGGAAAATTTAAACCCATGTGTGGTGGCCCAATTGGAAACACAGTCGACCGCATGCTGGAGAGAAACTGTAATGAGGTGACAGTCAGCGCCTGCACAGGCAATAGTGAAGTCATCAACATAGAGTGATGACCAAATATTTGATGGAAGTCTAGAGGCCAAATCATTTTTAGCAAGGAGAAAAAGTGTTGTGCTCAGAACACATCCCTTCAGCTTGGATGAAGTCCGGGGAGAGCACATTATTAACCCGAACACGGAAATGTCTGTCAGTTAAAAAGTTCTTAAGGAAGGATGGTAGATTGCCTCGGAGGCCTAAGGAGTGGGCTTGGGCCAAAATATTATGCCTCCAAGTTGTGTCATATGCCTTCTCAAGGTCAAAAAATATGGCAATAACTGAGTGGTTACTCGCAAAGGCATTACAAACATACGTATCCAAGCGTAGTAAGGGGTCTATGGTAAAACATCCCTTACGAAAGCCATATTGACGAGTGGAGAGACTGTTGTGTGTCTCTAAATACCACACTAAACGTCTATTTACCAGGCATTCTATCACTTTGCAAACTGCACTGGTAAGAGCAATGGGACGATAGTGGGAGGCTTCATGTCCCGTAGTGCCCGGTTTGCGGAAAGGGAGAACAATGGCAGATTTCCACGGCTGTGGAAGAACTCCTTGTGACCAAATAAGATTGAAAAGGCGTAATAGGACTGCAAGGGCTGACTGATGTAAATGTTGTAGCATACAAATATGAAAGTAGTTGGGCCCAGCTGCCGATGATTGGCAAGCTGAGAGTGTTGCCTCCAGTTCTTGAAGTGTAAAAGGCACATTATACTGTTCTTCTCTGAGAGAAGAAAAGTCCAAGGGTGCTAACTCTCTGGCAGACTTTGAGGAAAGAAACGAGAGGCATAGATGGAGCCCCTGAGAAATACGGACCAGATGATTGCCAATTTCATTGGCAACATCTAGTGGGTTTGCTATATCAACACCGTCAATCCACAGAACAGGAGCCGGGTCAGGAGAATATTTACCACTCAGTTTTCGTACTTTTTTCCAGACTGCACTCATAGAGGAAGCAGAGGTGATGGTGGAGACAATCTCGCCAGCAAGTGCGTTTAGCACCATGGATGACACGGCGAGTGATCGCACGCTTCTGCTTAAAATCAAGAAGTCTTTCCCTGGTTCTATTGTACCGGTACCTGCCCCACGCAGCGTGTTTCAAACATACTGCACAAGCACAAGCAGGAGACCACCAATGCACGCATTTCTGAGAATGCCTGCCCGAAGTTTGGGGTATAGAATGAGAAGCTGCGGTTAAAACGGAGGACGAGAAGAGGTGTAAAAGCTCATCAATGGAGGACAAAGAAGGAACCTCACTAAAAACAGTTAGTTGTGAGTAAAGGTTCCAATTTGCCTGATCAAATTGCCAGCGCGGGATATGAAGAGGTGGTGAATATGAAGGGGAAGTAAGAATGATTGGGAAATGATCGCTATCATGTAAATCCGGGAGAACAGACCAGGTGAAGTCTAATGCGGCGGAGGAAGAGCAGACAGAGATCGATGCAAGAGAGAGTGTGAGTCCAAGGATCAAAATGGGTGTGAGTACCTGTATTTAAAACATGGAGGGGGTGGGTAGCAAGAAAAGCCTCTAACTGAATGCCATGGGAATCACAGTGAGACCCCCCAGAGGAAATGATGGGCATTAAAATCGCCAAATAACAGAAGCGGTGACGGTAATGACGAAACAAGAAAGGCAATATCCGGAATAGATAATGCCCGAGAAGGAGAGAGATATAAAGAACAGAGTGTATACCACCTATGCAAGTGGATACAGGCTGCTGTGTAATGCAGCGAAGTATGAACAAATAGCTGATGGTACGGAATATCAGTGCATAGAAGAAGGGCACTTTCATTAAAGGTCCCATCAGGAAAAGGATCTGAAGAATACAATAAATTATAGGCTGAGATGGGATAGATAACAGCAGAGTGTAATTTTGGTTCCTATAAGCAAACACCAACAGGGGAAAACTGAGAGAGTAACATCTGAAGCTCACTCCGATTACCCCTGAGGCCGCGTATATTCCACTGTAAATAGGCCATGATTGGCAACGATAAAGATACCTGAAATCAGCAGGTAAGGGTTCTTACAGACTAGAGGGGTTAGAAAAGTCCACATGCGGAGGCAGCGGAAAACGTTCAAGCAGCGAAGGAACGGTGCGCTGCGAAGAAAGGAGTTGTGTAGATGGAGGAGAGGAGAGAGAAGGAACAGAGGGTGGATCAGTGTCCATTGATGGTTTGGTCTCTGCAATATATTCAGAGATTGCTTCAAGTGTTTTGGAATTCAGAGACGTCGTATGGGAGACAATATTGGAGATGGTAGGGGGAGGATGAGTAAAGATTGGAACTGCAATGGACTGTACCAAGGTAGGGGGGGCGAAAGAGTGGAGGGAACTGGAGAAGAAGCGTGGAAGGGGGCAGAAGAGGCAGAAACCTTGGAGGTGGCAGAAGAGGAAGAAACTTGGGAGGGAACAGGGGAGGAAGGTACAGTACGAGGAGGAAGGTGAACCTCTACACTTGTAACAGAGCCAGTGAGACGGGAAGAACCAGGTACAGAGACAGGGAAGGTAAAATGAGGAGGTGGAAGAAGGGAAGGAGGGGTTAAAGGACCTTTTTTTGACTTCTGAGAAGTAGAGGGATGATTGGGAGGAGGTGTCGTATGAGATCTAATCGATACCGAGGCTTGTGAGGGAGAACATGAAGAAGCGAGAACAGACAGAGGCGTTGAAGTAGGGACGTCTGAGCCCAGGACAGCAAAAGAATTAGATACAAGAGTGACTATGGGAGAGGTAACCACAGAGGAGGCTGCAGAAAATGGGACCCCAGAAGTGGGGGGACGTTTTGAAACA